GTTAATATCCAAGTGTCTTCCTGCTTTTCCTGCTACATGATTGCTTTGGAAAGGAAAGATTAATTCCAACTTTAAAAAAGAAAACACTATTTTTATCATTGCCAGGAGTCTATACGGGCTTAAAAAAGAAAAAGCACTTGCTTGTCGTTTTACATCTTGCAATTTTGTCAGTTGTTTTAAAACATGTCTCCTGTAATAAATAAGATCATTTTTATGCACTTGTTCTGCAGCTAAAAGCGAGGCCTGGTGCTGCGTGGGGAGTGGAGGGGCTGGGATGGAGCAGGGCAGGGAAAAATCACTGAGTCGGGAGGATTTGGTGCCATGGAGCTGCAGGAGGGGCTGCAGGGGGGTGAGGGAGGGTTTACCTGGGAAAAGCAGGAGTAGAACAGGCACTGAGGGGCAGAAAAAGGCTCAGATTTAGGGGGGATTTACCTGGGAAAAGCAGGAATACAACGGGCACGGAGGGGCAGAGAGAGGCTCAGATTTAGGGAGGATTTACCTGGGAAAAGCAGGAGGAAAACAGGCACTGAGGGGCAGAAAAAGGATCAGATTTAGGGGGAATTTACCTGGGAAAAGCAGGAATACAACGGGCACGGAGGGGCCCAGAGAGGCTCAGATTTAGGGAAGGTTTACCTGGGAAAAGCAGGAGTAAAACAGGCAGTGAGGGGCTGAAAAAGGCTCAGATTTAGGGGGGAGCAAGGGAGGATTTACCTGGGAACAGCAGGAGTACAAAGGGGCAGAAAGAGGCTCAGATTTAGGGAGGATTTACCTGGGAATAGCAGGAATACAACGGGCACTGAGGGGCAGAGAGAGGCTCAGATTTAGGGAGGATTTACCTGGGAATAGCAGGAGGAAAACAGGCAGTGAGGGGCAGAAAAAAAAGCTCAAATTTAGGGAGGATTTATCTGGAAAAAGCAGGAATACAACGGGCACTGAGGGGCACAGAGAGGATCAGATTTAGGGGGGGAGCAAGGGAGGATTTACCTGGGGAACACAGGAGTACAAAGGGGCAGATAGAGGCTCAGATTTAGGGAGGGTTTACCTGGGAAAAGCAGGAGTAGAACAGGCACTGAGGGGCAGAAACAGGCTCAGATTTAGGGGGGATTTACCTGGGAAAAGCAGGAGTAGAACAGGCACTGAGGGGCAGAAAGAGGCTCAGATTTAAGGAGGATTTACCTGGGAACACAGGAGTACAAAGGCACTGAGGGGCACAGAGAGGCTCAGATTTAGGATGTGCCTCACATCCTCCTGCAGCAGGGGCTGGAGCCACCCCCAGCTCCCCTCATGGTGACTGGAACCTCGGTGGGACCCATCCCAGCCTGGTCCCCACATCCCTCACACCCCCATCTCCCCTTATCCTGCCTGCCCTTAACCTGTGTCCAGCAGCAATGAGACAGGAGAGGTTTATTCCAGAGCCCAAGCCCAGCACAGGAGAGGTCCAGCGATTTAAATTCATGTCTTATTTTATCATATCCCACCAAATTCTCTGCGCAGGCTGCAGCTCCTCCACCCTGCCTGCTCTGCACCCCCTGGCACTCAGGATGGGACACAAATCTCCCTGCTCAGACCCATCCCAAGTTACTGGAACATCCTGAAGTTCAACAAAAACCCAATTCCCTCTTCCCCAGCCTCGCTTCACAGGTCACTAAGACATCAGAGTCCCTGGGCTTCATTAGGGCTCTGCATGGGAACTCGTCCTTGGCAAAATCAAACCAGGGCAAGTCCTGCTTGGGGATGAAAACATCATCAGTCATTGGTGAAAGTGCTCCCCGAGGCTTCTGGGCTCCTTTGGCTTTGCTTCTATTCCAAATATTTTGCTTTTCCTTTGGTGCTGGTGTTATTTTTGTTGGGCAGGGGTCTCGCTGCTTTCATTTGAACTTGTGCGAGCTCTGAGCAGAGAGGGGCTTGTCATGGAACAGAACTGGATGTGGAACAGGGAAATTTAAGTTTCTCCCCTCTGGTTACTGTTCTTAATGGAAACAGAGGGTTTTAGAGGAAAGGATCCAACCTGCAGCAGGACGTGGATCCATCACTACCCTCTGATGAAGGAAGGGCTGTTTACTTTACTCCAGCAAACACAAGCAGATCCAGAATGATCTCTGTGTGCCAGGATCAGGCTTTGGGTATCAGGGGAAGGACAAACAGCCCCAGGGGCATCACAGGAACAGGGAAATTTAACTTTCTCCCCTCTGGTTACTGTTCTCCTTAATAAAAGCAGGACCCTCATGGGTTTTGGAGCCAAGAATCCAACCTACACCAGGACATGGATCCATCACTACCCATGACATCCCTCTGGTGAAGGAAGGGCTGTTTACTTTACTCCAGCAAACACAAACAGATCCAGAGTGGTCTCTGTGTGCCAGAATCAGACCTTGGGCATCAGGGGAAGGACAAACAGCCCCAGGGGCATCACAGGAACAGGGAAGTTTAAGTTTCTCCCCTCTGGTTACTGTTCTTAATAAAAACAGGACCCTCATGGGTTTTGGAGCCAAGGATCCAACCTGCACCAGTGTGGATCCATCACTACCCTCTGATGAAGGAAGGGCTGATTGCTTTACTCCAGCAAACACAAACTGATCCAGAGTGGTGTCTGTGTGCCAGGATCAGGCCTTGGGCATCAAGGGAAGGACAAACAGCCCTGGGGGCATCTCAGGAAAGGACGAACAGCCCCGGGGGCGTCGCTGCTCCTGCCCTCGCTCGCCCCAGCGATGCTGCCCTCACTCACTCATCCCACCTGATCTTGGGTTACTCGGTGAGGGCCGTGTTGTTGTTGTTGGCCAACAACCCAAGTGACTTTGAGGAAAAGCTTTTTTTCAGTTTCCTCCTTCCCTGAATGGCTCCTTTGAGCGGCAGCGCCTCTCCGCTCACATCCCGCTGTCCGGATTGAATCAATCTTGCGGTCAGCTTCGGGAGGGAGGGAAAGAAAGAAAAAAGTGAAGAAAAAAGGCTCACAAAGAGGGGGAATTGACAGGTCTGACCCTGGGTGTGATTGATAGGGGTTGGAGGAGCGGGACTGAGCTGGGCCATGCCAGCACTCGCTGGGGAAATGCAGCAAAGCCTTTTTTCCCAGAACCCGGAGCAGCGGGCTCGGAGAGGGGTGGGCACATGAACTTAATAATAGCAACATTGTTGGAACATAAAGCATCTGTCAGGAGTTAATATGATTAATTAGAGGTGTCTGTCTCTCCCCCTTTCCCCCCCTCTCCCTTTCTGCGTAGGCAGGAGGGACCTGAAACGCAAATCCCTGGAGGGCAGAGGTGGGGCTGGATGGGCACCTGGCCCCACATCGCCTTTCTTCAGGCCACAGGTGCTCAGTTCCTCAATTCTCATCCCATCCTGGCCCCCAGGATTTTATCCACACCCCCATCCCATTGCACATCTCCCCTCCAGCCCCCATTCTCCCACCTGAAGGCCAGGAAAGGAGCTCTCACCCCACCTCACAAGCAGGACATCACTTGGACAGAGCTCCACGATCTATCCATGGCTCCTCTGGACAAATTCTGGCTGAGCTCGGCTGTTTTTCACCCCCCTGCAAATCTGAAGCCCCAGGGGTTTGTGGAATTAATTCAAGGATGTCTGGAAAAGGTAACTAGAAATAGGAAGTTAATTGTTGGAAGTTAATTAGTTGTACAGCAGCCTGCGCTGGCACCCGAAGATTTTTAAGACTCAGCAAACCAAAGAAAGGAGAAAATGACTGGGAATAAGGAGTTGTGGGTTCATAAGGGAATTTCACTTTGTGAGAGACCTTTGTGAGGTCAGGCCCCTCGCCTTGGGTGGCACCAGGACGGGCACAGGTGTTGGCTGGTGGCAGGGCACAGCCCCTGGGTGCAGCTTTGGGTGCTGAGCTGTGCCAGGCTGAGCTTGTCTAAGCCATGCCATGGCAGCAGTGCCATGCCATGGTGTGCCAGCTGAGCCATGCCATGCCATGATCAGCCATGCTGGGCATGCCATGCCAGCCAAGCCGAGCTGTGCCATTCCAAGCTGTGCCATGGCGTGTCAGCCATGCCAAGGTGTGTTAGCAGTGCCCTGCTAAGGTGTTCCAGCCAAGCTACACCCAGGTGTGCCAGCAGTGCCATGCCATGCCATGGTAAATTGTGCCAGCAGTGCCATCCCATGCCATGCCATCCAAGCCATGCCATGCCATGGTAAACTGTGCCAGCAGAGTCATCCTATGCCATGTCATGTCACCCAAGCCATGCCATGGTAAATTGTGCCAGCAGTGCCATGCCATGCCACACTGTGCTGGCAGTGCTGTGCCATGCTGAGCTGTGTCATGCCATGCCATGGTAAACTGTGCCAGCAGTGCCATGCCACGCCGTGCCAGCAGTGCCATGCCATGCCATGCTGAGCGGTGCCAGCAGTGCCACGCTGTGCACACCATGCCAGCATGCCAGCAGCGTTGTGCCATGCCGAGCTGTGCCATGCCGTGCCGTGCCATGCCATGCCATGCTATGCCATGCCAGCATGCCGTGCCGTGCCATGTTGTGCCGGCAGCGCCGTGCCAGCAGCGCCGTGCCATGCCATGCTATGCCAGCAGCGCTGTGCCATGCCGAGCTGTGCCAGCAGTACCATGCCGAGCTGTGCCATGCCATGCCATGCCGTGCCGTGCCATCCTATGCTAGCAGCGCCGTGCCATGCCGTGCCAGCAGCGCCGTGCCGGCAGCGCCGTGCCAAGCCGAGCCGCGCCAGCGCTGCCTCCGCCGCTCGGGCCGGTGCCGCGGTTCTCCCCCGCGCGGCGGCGCGGGGCGGTGGCGGCGGAGCGGCGGCGGCTCGCCCCCCCCACCGGCGGCTCTCCCCGCCCCGGGGGCCCGGCCGGGCGCGGATTGGTGCGCGGCGCCGGCCCCCTCGGAGCGCGGCCGCCATCGGGGCTATTTGACGTGTCGGTGGGGCCGGGGAAGGGCTTCGTCTCGCCGGGGCCGCCGCCGCCGCCGCTCCGCCGCCCGCCCGGCCCGGCCCGGCCCCGCGGAGCCCGGGCACCCCCCCCCTTTCCCCCGCCCCAAATGAGCGGCGCTCCCGGCGGGCCCCGGCCGAGGACCCCGCCGAGCCGCGGAGCCGCGGCCGCCCCGTCGCCCCGGCCGCCCCCCGCCGACCCGCTGCGCCAGGCCAGCCGGCTGCCCATCCGCGTCCTGAAGATGCTCAGCGCCCACGGCGGCCACCTCCTGCACCCCGAGTACCTCCAGCCGCTCTCCTCCACGCCCGTCAGCCCCATCGAGGTCAGTGCCCGCCGCCCCCGACCGCGCCTCGCAGCCCCGGAGCCGCGCTCCCGGTTCTCCCGGCCGGCTCTTCCCAGCCCGGTTCTCCCGGCCGGGCTCTTCCCGGTGCTCCCGGCATTCCCGGCCGGCGCTCCCGCTTCTCCCGGCCGGCTGCTTCTCAGCCTGGCTCTCCCGGCTTTTCCCAGCCCGGCGCTCTCGGTTCTCCGGGCCGGGCTCTTCCTGGTTCTCCCGGCTTTTCTCGGCCGCCGCTCCCGGTTCTCCCGGCCGGGCTCTGCCCTGCCCGGCTCCCCCCACCCCGTTCTTTCCCTCCCCCGCCGCCGCCGCAGCCCCGCTCCCCCTCACCCCACCCGGTCCCTGTTCTCCCCGGCCGGGCGCGTCCTCCCGCCCCGTCCCCCCCATCCCCGCGCCCTGGCTCGGTGCCGGGCCCGGCCCCGGGGTTTCGCCGGTGGGGGGAGGCCGGTGCGGGGGCGCCGTCGGGGTCCCCCCTGACCGGCTCCGCTCCGCCCGCAGCTGGACGCCAAGAAGAGCCCGCTGGCGCTGCTGGCCCAGACCTGCTCGCAGATCGGCAAGCCCGACCCGCCGCCCTCCTCCAAGCTCAACGCCGTGGCGGCCGCCGCGCCCGCCGCCGACAAGGAGCCCTCGGCCCGGCCCGCCGCGCTGAAGCCGCCGGGCAGCGGGGACGCGCCCGCCGAGGACAAGTCGAGCTTCAAGCCCTACTCGAAAGGCGGCGGGGAGCCCCGCAAGGAGGGCGGCGCGGACAAGGCCGGCTTTCGGGTGCCCAGCGCAGCGTGCCCGCCGTTCCCCCCGCACGCCGCCGCCTCCTCGCCCGGCGGCTCCCGCGGGGCTTCGCCGCAGCACCCCGAGCCCAAGGGCGCCGAGGAGAAGAAGGAGCCCGAAGGCGGCAAGCCTAGCCCCGAGGGGACGGGCGGGGCGCTGGGGCGCGGGGTGGTGGAGGCCGGGGCGCACGGCGAGCCCCCCTCGGGCCGCAAGTCGGAGCCCCCCGCGCTGCCGCCCGCCGGCCATGTGGCCCCCGTGTCGCCCTACAAGCCGGGCCACTCCGTGTTCCCCCTGCCGCCCTCCAGCATCGGCTACCACGGCTCCATCGTGGGCGCCTACGCCGGCTACCCGTCCCAGTTCGTGCCCGGGCTGGACCCCACCAAGCCGGCGCTGGTGGGCAGCCAGCTGCCGGGGGCGCTGGGGCTGCCGGGCAAACCGCCCAGCTCCAGCCCGCTCACCGGGGCCTCGCCGCCCTCCTTTATGCAGGGATTATGCCGGGACCCGTACTGCCTGAGCTACCACAGCGCCTCGCACCTGGGCTCCAGCAACTGCTCCAGCTGCGTGCACGACCCCGGCAGCCTCAAGAGCGGATACCCCTTGGTGTACCCCACGCACCCCCTGCACTCGGTGCACACCACGCTCTCCTCCAGCGGCACCCCCAGCCTGCCCGGCCACCCCCTGTACACCTACGGCTTCATGCTGCAGAACGACCCCCTGCCCCACATATGCAACTGGGTGTCTGCCAGCGGACCCTGCGACAAGAGGTTTGCCACCTCGGAGGAGCTGCTCACCCACCTACGGACCCACACGGCCCTGCCGGGGGCCGAGAAACTCTTGGCGGGTTACCCTACCTCCGGGCTGGGCTCCGCGGCCTCCTGCCACCTGCACCTCCCGCCCGCCGCCCCCGGGAGCCCCAACACCTTACCGGCCTCGCTCTCCTTGAGGAGCCCACACACTTTGGGACTAAACAGGTACCACCCCTATGGCAAGAGCCACTTGCCCACGGCCGGCGCCCTGCCCGTGCCCTCCTTGCCGGCTGCAGGACCTTACTACTCCCCATACGCTCTCTACGGCCAAAGACTCACGTCAGCCTCGGCTTTGGGATATCAGTAACCGGCTCAGCCCCAGCCCCCCGCGCCCTCCTTGGACTCTGTATTTATTACTGTATGTTAGCTTAAAGCTGGGAATATAAGTGCATTATACACCAATGAATCAATGGTATGCAAAAAAAAAAAAAAGTCTGTGTTCCAAAAAAAAAAAATTAACCCGAAAAAAAGAAAAAAAAAAATTTCCCCTTCTTTACTTTGCAGGTGTGGGGCTTTGATTTTCCCCTTCTGTTTCTGTTGAATTTTTTTTTTTTCCTTACCCTTCTTAATTTCCCCCGAGAAATTCTTGCATGACATGGAAAAGCAAAAAAAAAAAAACAAAAAAAAAGGCATTTTCCTCCTTCCCCTCTGCGTTTATCGCTCTGGGATTCTCTTCTCTGCATTTGTAACTTGCAGATGTAATTTTTTTTCTTGTAATTTTTTCCTTATTTTTAATCTTTGGGGTTTTCAAATTTTTTTTTCCTTTTAAAATTTTTGTGGTTTATTTTTTTTTTTTTAATTTTACTCCTTCTTTTTGGTTTTTTTTTTTTTTTAATTTTTGCGCTGTGTCCGGGGCCAGGGAGGGCTACACCGGTTGGGTGATGCTCACCCCAGGCCGTGCCCCGCCGGGGGCTGCAGGACCCCGCGTGTCCCCGCTGTGTCGGTGGGGGGACCGGAGGAGCGGCAGGACCGGCGGCCCCGGGCGGGCGGACGAGCCCCGGTAAGTCTGATTTTGTTAATAAACGCCTCTTGGTTGTAACCCACGCTCTGGTCTCGTCTCGTCCCTGCCCGGGGGTCCGGCAGGGTCCCAGCACCATCTAGCGGTGGCGGCGGCGGTACCGGAGGAGCCCCGGGTGCGCTCCTGGCTCCGCGTCCCCGGTGTCCCCATCCCCGCGTGTTTGTGTCCCCGGGCGTGGCGGCGGAGGGAAGGTTCCAGAAGGCGTTTAGCGGGATCGGAGCGGTGCCCGCGGGTGGGCACCCCTTCCCGGGGTGCAGATTTGGGGGCGCAGTTGTGTTCTGGATATCGGTGTGGGGGGATCCCACACCCTGCTCCCGTTCCGTCTTTGTGCCGGGAGGAGAGTGATGGATGGCTCCGACATGGTCTGGCTCCATCCCCACCATGCTGGGGGGCTCTGCCTGCTCCATGCCCCAAAAAAAGCGCTTCCACTCCAGCTCTGGACCCCTTTTCAAGCTCCCCCTGCATGCCCCATTGCCCCACATCGCTTATTTTTTTTGTCTGCCTCGTTCCTGTTGCATTTCAGTGAGTCACGCAATTAATCCCTGTTAATTGCCTTCTCGATATTGCTTTATGCCCTGTGTTTAAATTCCTTTGTGTCCTTTGAGCTGAAAAATAACGCGCTGAGAACAGGGACTACTTTTGCCAAAGGGATTTCGATTTCCCTGCCTGTGTCTGAGCGTGCGGCTGCTGGGAGGGCCCAGCTGAGGTTTCCTATGGCAGTGAGAGAGGTTTGGTGGTCCAGGGGTGAGTTTGGCTCCGTGCTGAGCTCCCCAAGGCTGATTTTGGGGGTCTGTGGCTTGGGGATGTGCGGACGTGGCTGGGCTCCGGTTGTGGCCATGCTGGTGTTGCTCCTTCCAGGTGGGATGTTTGCTGGATGAGGGCTGGAGCTGGCACAGAGGTGTTTGCAGGGCTGGGGTTGGCACAGGGGGTGCTTTGCTGTGGTTGTTGGCTCTGTCCCGTGGGCACAGCAGGAATGCGGTGCCCAGCCCAGGCTGGTGCAGCCCCTCCGGTGTCTGTGCTGGGTGCTGAGCCCTGTGGCAGCTGATGCTGGCCGTGGAGCAGGGTGGCACGGGCGGTGGGCACAGCAGCTCCAGAGTGTTCTCTCTGCTGGCACAGGAGGTACCCAGACCCCCTGGCCCTCGGGAGCATCGCTTCTCCCTGGATGTGGCTCCCGCTCCCCGCAGTGATGCCGCTCGGTGTCGGCCTCACTCGGGCACTGCCAGTGCCCATCGTAAACCCTGGCTGTGGCTTCGTGCTGGGGCCTGTCTCAAGTTCCTGCACTGCAATTTTGTCCCACCATGCCCATCCCTGGCCACGGCTGGGCACCTCGCGCTACAGGGTGGGAGGATGATGCCGCAGACCCTCAAGGCGCGGTAGCCCAGTGCCAAAATCAGCGCGCCTGGCACAGCCACTCTGAGTTTTGGGGGCCGTGCCAGACCCCAACCATGGAGCAGCCAGGGCACAGAGCAGGGGCTGCACAGCCTCATCCTGCCAGAGCTGCTGGGGGATCCCTCCTCACGGCAAAGCTCCATCCCCTCTCTCCCCTAAACCCTCCCCGTACTAGGATGGTCCCTGCTCCAAAACGAGCCCGCGCGCCTTCCCTTCACCCACAGCAGGGCTGGGTGCTGCCTGGATGAGTCCTGCTGTGCAGGAGGTTCCCTGAGGAATTTTTTTCCCCTCCCTAAGGACTGCAGCAGCGGGGCCAAACCGTGTAAACACCACGAGTATCATCTGATAGCGGCGGCACTCGGGCTGAGCTGCTGGGGAACAGTCGCGTTGCCGATATATTAAATAATTCCCTGTGTAATGTATGCCCAGGTTATTGCGGAATTCATTTTATAATAAGAGCACTGGGATGCACTTTATTAATCATTCTGTCTAACAACCTGCACTCCACAGTTTCGGTTTGATTTGATTCAATCCTGTCTTTCTGCAAAATATATGGCTGAGTGGGTCGGATAATGTATGGCTTAATTTAGAGTTGTATGGGTTTGAATTACCATTTTCATAATGTGCTGTGCATTAATGTGTTGCATCATTTATACAGAAAAATGTGCCAGGTTTCAAACCTCTCCAGGAGGCAAAAGTCACCTAAAGGGAACGCAGAGAGACAGAAAAAGACCTTTTCAAATCCAGCTGGGGCTGGGAGGACACCGGTGGGTGTCGGACGTGGGGACAGCAGTTTTAGGGGTGTGCTGGTGGCTCTTTTCCCCGTGGCACAGCAGCACCTTCATCCCAAGCTGCTGGGGACCTGCAGCGTTTGACTCGCCGCTGACCCTGGTGCCGCCGAAGTCGCGCCCACCGTCACTCGCGAGGAAAAAGCTCTGATTATCCAAATACAGTCATTAAAGGGGAAATGTGTTTTTTAGGACTGTCAGAGTGATTAATGAGGGTTAGCAATCCTTGCAAATGCACTTGTTTAGTCTAACTGGCAGCCTCTCCTTTCCTATTGATTTATGGTGGCAGTTGCCGGGGCCGCGGTGTGTGTGGAAGGAGCGGGGCTGCGCCGGGGCACAGCGAGGGGCCCGGCCGAGCAGCACGGCACGCTCTGCTGTGCCCGAGGCAGCTGAACAAAGGCAACATTATCCCCTGTGCCGGGGAAGGAATGACTTGGACGCGCACACCGAGCCGCTCCGCGTGCCTTATAAATATCCCCGTCTGTGAAGGCCGAAGCCCAGCTGACCACAGCCACACCGTCCGCCCAATAAATACGTGAATGAAAGAGCCAGGCCCTATTTTTTCTTGTTGTTTTTCCTTTCCTCTCCTGCACAAAAATCCCCGATGTCTTTTAGGTGATGCAGAGGTGGCTGCCCGCAGACGTACAAGGCGTTTCAGAGCGCGGAGCGGAGCGCGGCGTCCTCGAGGGCTGGAGCCTGCCCAGGGGTCAGGTCGGGATGCAGAGCCATGGTGGGTGGATGAGAAGTTCCTCAGCTGCATAAAGCAGCTTTTCTTTCCACGTGAGCACTGGAGGAAGCCACGGAGAACACGGGCTCTGTTTGTCCTCCAAGCCAGAGTGGCACGGACACCTCCTGTCCCTCCACCAGCATCCTCGTGCCCAGCCTGGGTTCAGGGTTTGCTTTGGGGCACACTTGGTGCTGGATGAGCTGAGAGCAGACCTGGAGGGACAAAGCCGTGCTTGGAGGTGGCAGCGGAGGTCCTGTGCCAGGCTGGGAGCTGGAGCCATGCAGGAGGAGCAGCTGAGTGGTGACACAGCGGTGACACGGAGCAGCCGGGACAGCACCACGGTGTGGAGCTGTGTGTGCCCACCAGAGCTCCGCACTGCCCTGCTGTGGGGCCACCTCCAGCCACTCCAAGCAGTGGGGCAGCACAAGTGACAAGAGGCTGGATGAGGTGAGTGGAGAAGAATGAAGTCCTCAAGGCGCCAAAGCCAGAAGAGTGTGGGCAAGCACCCAGGGCACTGCAGTGGCCAGGAATGCCACAGATGGGAATGGACTTTTCCTCTGGCTCTGGATAATGGCTGAAGAGCTGCCGCTGCCTCTGCTCTGGCCATGGATTGGTGTGTGCTGCAAATCCTCTAGCAGCTCTGATTCCAGCTTCAGCAGTGATTCACTGATGTGTTCCACACCACACCAGGACACCCGGCCTTGGCTGGTCACCAGTGACCCACGGGAAGTCCCCAGTGTGACCACAGCCATGGTTTCCCTCTTGTGCAGTGTGACAGTCCAGCACAGGGCCCTGGCAGGTGACAAAGCCCTGGGACCACGGCCGTTTCCTCGCACAGGTTGACACAGGAGTGTGACAGCGATCCCTGCAGGCTGGGTCACAGTCACCTTCTGTTTATTGTGGTGACAAACTGAGGAGTGCTGATCCTCACCAACACTTCAGCTGAAGCTCCCTGGAGAGCAGGGGAGAGCACTCAGCTGACAGCTCTGTGCACAGAGCAGGGTCCTGGAGCTCGAGTCCCAGTAACACAGATTTACACAGATGATTTACACAGATTTACACAGACCCCTGTGTTTTCTGAAGCTGTTCATGGAAACCTCCAGGAGCAGCTTTGCCATGACTTCATCCCACCTTCCAGCGTGGTGCAGGGAGACAGGACAGGAGGATGTGACCCACAGCCTTTGCCAAAGGTGATGGTGGAACACTGGCCCCAACAGGCTGAGCAGAGCTGGACAGGACACCCGACACTGTGCAGGGTGCAACGTGACCTCTTTAACACCTTGTGGTCCCAAAATTCATGGATCACCCCTCCTGACCTGGCAAAATTGGGAAGGAGATGAAGGATGCAGCATCCTGGGCGTCTGGTGGCTTCTGACAGACCCTTCCTGCAGACACCTCAGTGGAGCAGAGAACCAAAATGGCCTTTTTTGTGTCCCCCACAGCTGCAAAGGTGCCCACCACAGCACCCCTGCATCTCCAGGTGCATCCCTGGGAGAGGGAGATGCTGCTGCACCGAAGAAGATGGGGAGCAGTGAGAGCCTCAGGTGCTGGTGCCACCTCCCCATGAGCAGCTCCTGCAGGGGGGGTGGCTGGGGGGCTCTGAGAGAGGACAGGACAGAAATGGGGACTGTTAAAGATCTTTCTTGCTGAGCCTTGACCGTCTTCTCTGCACCCAAAAGATTTGCTGTGTTTTCCTATCTGGATGAGGAGGATGGGGCTGGGTGAGAAGGATGGGGGCTGCTCATCACCCAGGATTGAGTCCAGGCCAGGAGCCCTGCTCCTATCAAGAGGACTCCTGGTTTCTGCTGGAGCAGCGTTGCCTTTGTGGGGTTTGGTTTTGTTCCCATTCCCTGCACAATCCCAGTAACATCCAACAGGCTGGAGAAGGACAGTGCCCCTCAGAGGTGAGAAGAGCCCAGTTCTGGGCAGAATGGAAATGGAGCCTAAAGCCCTTCCCTGCTTCCCAGAGTCTCTGGGACTCTGCTTGGGTTTTGTTTTGGGAGCAGCTGGGATGGATGGGGCTGGCTGGGTGCCTGCTCCTCTGCCTGCAGGGATGTGCTCTGTCCCCATTGCTGCTGCTCCTCAGTAATTCCCAAGCTTTTCCCAGTTGCTGTGCTGGCACAGAAATCCTGCAGCACTGGGGCAGCTCAGGAGGGGGTCCTACCAAGGGGAGCACCAGGATCCAGCACCTCTCGTGATTTTGGGATGTTCTGGTGTGGGGCAGACCCTGCCGTGGCGGAAGCTCTCAGGGTACTGGGACTGTCCTGCTGGGTTTGGGGACTGGTTCTGAACACTGGGGCAGCTTGGGGGGGTCACCAGGACCTGGCAGCTCTCAGGTGATTTTGGGATATCCTGGTGTGGGGCAGACCCTGAGCCCTCCTGGCCATGGGGGGCACCGGGACTGTCCTGCTGGGTTTGGGGACTGGCTCTGAGCACTGGGATGTGCACAGCACCCACACACTGCAGGTGATGGGGACCAGGGCAGGGCTGGCAGCTCCACGGTGCTCCGTGCCTCCATTTCAGGGCACAGAGAGAGCTCAGCACCACAACCAGGGGTGGGCAGTGGGCACAGCCCCCCACCTTTAATCCCACCCCAGATGGCCACAAGCCCCAGGGCAGTAATGGGCTTGGGGGGACTGATTTCTGTGTGCTGTGCCAGGGATGCTGCCCCTGCTCATCCCTCCGGCCCTGCCCTTTTCCTGCCACCAGCAGCGGCCCTTTCATCTCCGGGGGAGGTACAAATGGAGCTGTCAGATGCCATCAGCCCCGTGATATGACAGGCTGTGGGGCCGGGGCCCCTCGAACAGAGCAGCCTTGTCTGTCAGAGCCGCCTGACACTCCCCATAATGGCCAGATGGATGAGACACTGAAAGTAGGGCCCGGCGCGTTTTCAACTCTATTTTGGGTGAAAACACTTCTTGAAAGATCTTGAAAGGAGCTGGCAGTTTAGTAGTTCAGATGATTAATGAGCACTGGCTCTGGCGGGTGGATTTCTCGAGCCGTGCCAGCAGCTGGGCTGCTCCAGCGGGCCAAGACACGCCGAGCGCCCCCCGGCCCCCCTGGCCTTCCCGGAAATGACACCGAGGCGACAGGCCCTGCATATGGAAAAAGTTAAATATAAATTACTGCTGAAAGAGGCCTCGCCGAGCCGAGTTAGTTAAAAGATGTTTATGGATTCAGAAACACGGGCCTGCATATGTATTTAGGGATGACAAATGTGATTCAATAAGTCAGGAATTTCTCCGTGGGCTGAGGCGGGACCCGCGCTGCTCTGGGCTCGGCAGCTCCGTGCCATAAATCCTGCAGGCAGGCTCCTCGCTCCTCCCCGGCCTGCTTGGGGTTGATTTCTGCCTTTTTTCTGCACCTCACCAAGTCACAGGAGATCCCAAACTGCGTTTGGGAGCAGCCCTGCTCTCTCCATGGGTTTGGAGGATTGGGAAAACCCATGGGGGCACTGAGGGCCATGCCACCACCAGTGCCAGGTACATCCTCGTCCCTGGGCTCTGTGTCCTCCCAAAGCAGCTCTGGGAGCAGCCAGGCCCTTCAGGACTGTCAGCAGATGATTTACAACCAACAGCTCCAGAGCAAGTTTGGGATTTGACCCGGTGCTTCACGAGTTCAGCTCTAATTCTGCAGCTCCTTCATGTGGGGCAGCTTGAGGGCACCCATCCAAGCTGCCCCCTGTTCCTGCTGCTCTTGGGGTGCACCACAACAAACTGAAGCAGGAACCCCCTAAATTAAACTCCAGCTGACGTGGTGAGGGCCTGGCATGGATGACAGGTCCATGGTGGGGTGCCAGGTCCATGGTGGGGGTACCAGATCCACAGCAGGGGTGCCAGGTCCACGGTGGAGGTGCCAGGTCCATGGCAGGGGTGCCAGGTCCATGGTGGGGGTGCCAGGTCAGTGTCAGGGGTACCAGGTCCATGGTGAGGGTGCCAGGTCCATAGCGGGGGTACCATGGGGGTGCCAGATCCGTGGTGGGGGTGCCATGTTCATGGCAGGGGTGCCAGGTCTGTGTCAGGGGTACCAGGTCCATGGTGAAAGTACCAGACCTATGGCAGGGGTACCAGGTCCATGGCAGGGGATGCTGGATTTGGATTTGGGGTGACAACCCCCAGCAGACCCACAGCAATGGGCAGTGCAGGATCCACCCCCTTGGCTCCCCTCACCCCACACCTCTGGGAGGCTCAGAGGGAAATGCTTTTCAGGGGGTCAGCGCCCGGCCAGGCCTTGGACCCACATCCACATTCCTTTGGCCTGATTTTATTCGTTAGCAACATTTGGCCTGGATATGGAGACAGCTAATGAGGGACGGAGTTTATTGCAGTTTGATTTTTCTGTTAAAACAATACAATAAAATAAATGCACTTGGAAATCTGGTCTGTGTTTGTACATAGGAGATTTATGGCTCTGAAGGCTTCCAGAGAGACGCAGCCTTTCATTCCCTTCCTTATTGGAACAGATCATGTTGCAGAGTTTAAAGGCCTCTGGAGCTGTGATTTATTTGAAGGGAGAAATAAGGGAAATCCAACTATCTGTTCCCTGGCTCGGATCATCCAGTAACTCCCAGCCAAGGGGACGGATCTGCACCTCCTCCACAGATTTTTTTTTTTTTTTCTTTTTTTTCCCTCCTGTCACTTACATTATCCCGCTCTAAATATATCACCGAGCCAGGGATGGCTCCTGACCTGGGCTTCAGCACCTCACAGAGGTTTCCCCAGCCCTTCCTGGAATCCCACAGCTAAATAAATCTCTCTCCTAGAGCCCTGTCTGAGCTCCTCCACGCTGCTGATGGGATGGGAGCTGCGTGGGGCCAGCTGCTGCCTTGATCCAGAGCTGAGGTAAAGGCAGAATCTTGGGGTTATCTCTGGATTCAGGTGATAAATTCACATCACCTGTTCCTGCTCCCCTCCCTTGCTGCTCTCCTGGGAAGAGAAGAGCACAGCAGCTTAGAACCAGGTCAGGATTTGTGCCTGGAAACCTTTGCCATGAACTTGGAAACTCAGCAGGATGATGCTGCGGCTCCCACACTCCAGGGGCTGCACAGCCACCTCCCTCCTTCCCACCCTCATGGACGAAAACTGTGTTTTCCCCTTCTCTGAGGTTTCCTGCTGCTCAGGGATGAAGCACCTGGAAGGCTCCAACCCATCCCAGTGGATCCTCCCAGCAGGAGCAAGGTGAGATCCTTCCCTGAGACATTTTGGAAGCCTTTGGCATTTACAGCCTGGAGCTTCCTGGATTCTCCTGCTTCTCCCAGGTATCTCCTGGACTTCTGGGAATAGTGTTGGTGCCATCAGCACCATCCATCCTTTCTTGTGCTGTTTGGACACACGTGAGAGGAGAATTCCCTTCTCCATCGTCACCATCGTGCTGTGGGTCAGGGAAGGAGTGACAGGATCCCAGCTAGGGAGGGGACCTGGCTGTGCCAGCCACTCTCCTCCCCCTGGAGCTCCATCCCAGCTCCTCCAGCCCATGTTTTTGGCGGGCTGCTCCCTCCCCCTGCACACAGACGGGCTCTGTTTGCCATTAGCTCCCCCCGCTCTGCCCCAGGAGCCCATCCCAGCACTAATTCTCACGCATGTTTCGGGTAAACCTACTTTCTTTGCCGGCCTGAATTGTGGTTTCCAAGCACCATTAATCATTTCCCTTTAGAGAAACAGCATTGGGGGGCTGGAAACACATTGCTCCTTTCTTTGCTGGGGGATGACCTGGCACGCTGGCACCCGGCCACGGGGCTGGCGCCTGCGGGACGTGGAGAGCAGCCTCGGGGAGAGCTCCCCTCCTGTGCTGGGAACTGGCTCCCAGTGGGATCAGCGACCCCAGGACAGAGCCCAGCTCCTGCCCAGGGACTCCTGAAGGAGGAGAGGAAAAGGCTGGGAGTGCCAGTTCTGTAGGGCTTTCCCCAGAGCCTCCTCCCAGGGGCTGCTCACTGCGAGCTGGGTTGTCTCCCTGCTCTCTGCCCACCCCACACGCCCCTCCTGTGGGTCCTCAGCTCATGATTTTGGAAGGAAGGGAGCCCCCCCTGCCCTGCTGGCCGTGGGGAGGGGGTACAGTGGCCACGTGTGAGCTCTGTGCTGTCAGGGGATGATTAATGGCCAACGCCACCGAGCTGCCAAGGGCTGCATTGTTAGAGCTGACACGGAACGAGCCCCGACACTCTGGAACACAGCTCTGCCCCATAATCAGCAAATAACCTTCCATGGAGGGAACTGGGGGAGTGTTCCCCCTCCCAGAGCAGGAAAGGGCCCAGCCAAGCAGGCTGCAGCTCCCAGCTCCTGCCAGGGATTTCCCTTCCTAGGATCCACTGCTCCTTTAGGTGACAGCTAGGGGAGAGATGGATGGGATGGGATGGAATAATGGGATAGGATGGGATAATGGGATGGGATCCATGGGATGGGGCAGGATGGGATCCATGGGATGGGATGGGATGGGATCCATGGGATGGGATCCATGAAATGGAATGGGATGGGATCCATGGGATGGGATCCATGAAATGGAATGGGATCCGTGAAATGGGATGGGATAGGATGGGATCGGATCCATGGGGTGGGGTCTATGGGATGGGATCCATGAAATGGGATGGGATGGGATGGGATGGGATGGGGTCCATGGGATGGGATGGGATCCATAGAATGGGATCCATGAAATGGGATGGGGTCCATGGAATGGGATCCATGAAATGGGATGGGATGGGATTGGATCCATGTGATGGGATGGGATCCATGAAATGGAATAGGATGGGATCCATGAAATGGGATGGGGTGGGATTGGATCCATGGGATGGGGTAGGATGGGATGGAACTGGAGATGGAGGCAGAATTTGAGATGGGCTCGGGGACAGGATGGAAATGGAGATGGAGGCGGGAGTGGGGTTGGGGCAGGACTGGCTTTGGAGCAGAGCTCTGCACCCCCCGCTGCAGCTGCACAGGTAACCTTAAACGCCAGAGCAGGAGCGCGGGGACGGAGTTTTTCCAGCCCTGTTCGCAGCTGTCAGGCGGTGATTAATGGCCAACAGCCTCGGAATTGCCTTTATTGCCAGCGCGGCATTGTTACAGTGACAGCTAACGAGGGCAGACAGGCTTTACAGCGCGCCTTGCCCCGCCCCGCCGGGACCGAGCCGGGACCGAGCCGGGACCGAACTGAGACCGAGCTGGGACCGAGCCGAGACAGAGCTGGGACAGGACCGAGACCGAGCTAGGACAGGACCGAGACCGAGCCGGGACCGAACTGAGACCGAGCTGGGACCGAGCCGGGACCGAGCCGGGACCGAGCTGGGACCGAGCTGGGACCGAGCCGAGACCGAGCCGAGACCGAGCCGAGACCGAGCCGGGACCGTCCCGCCCGGGGCTGCCCACGGGGAACCCAGATGTGCCCATGGATAACCAAGCTGTGCCCAGAGCTAACCCAGCTGTGCCCAGGGCTATCCCAGCTGTGCCCATGGAGAACCCAGCTGTGCCCACAACCATCCCAGCTCTGCCCAGGGCCATCCCAGATGTGCCCATGGCTGTCCCATCTCTACCCGGGCCATCCCAGCTCTGCCCTCACCCCACCCAGGGCCTGCCTGGGTCCCATCCCAGCTCCATCCCGATGAGTATGGACCCACAAACACCCAGAGCCCCCCAAATTTTCTCACTGAACTGCACAAAAAACCCCTCAGGATATTTTCACAAGGGCAGGGGGATGAGGTAGGGGTGGAGGAGCTGGAGAGAACTGGGTGCAATAACCCATTTATTCCTCCAAACCATTTATCCCTCCAAACAGCCCTGTTAAAACCCCGAGCGCCGTGGCACAGACACCACTGAATGTTCCTGGCCTCCAGTCCAGCGGTAATGATTTTTTTTGGCTTTTTTTTTTTTAGGATTATTACAAATAATATTTACCTTTGTGCTGGTTCACATCTTGATGCTGTTAAACACGTGGCCACAGCTGGTTTCCCGCTCAGGGCAGTGATATAGTGCTGGTGTTATGAAGCAAAACCTCTGCTGCGAGCCAGAACACCCCACATTTAAAAACCTATTACTTTTCAATATTCCATGGATGCATTTTGCTCCAGCTCAGAGCAATTTCCTAGTTTACCCTTATTAAACTGAAAGGGGCTGAGCAGAGCCTTGTGATTTATGAAACACATACTAGATTCATTAAAACCTTTAAAGATTTAATACATTTTATCAAGGCCTTAAATCTGGGCAACCGCCTTTAAAAAAACACCAACTGCAGGGTGTTTTTCATCTCTGGCGCCCTTTTGGGCTTCTTTAAGAGCTGTAAAATTTGGATTGACAAATATCGTGGATATTTCATTCCTTATTCCTAAATGGCACTGAACCCTCCTGACAGGATTGTTATATATAACCTCAGAGATCCATCACGAGGAAAGATCAAATCATTCTGCTTTATTGACGTTTTTTACGTGGTTTTTAAGGCTCTTTCCAGGATTTCAGAGCTGGATGATTCTGGTTGCTGGCCCATCCCATTTCCTGCGATTGCCCAGACGAGCAGGGGGGTCTGTGTGGGGGGCAATGCAGGGAGAGGTCAGAGATTAAATAAAAATGTTGTGGCTGAGAAATATAAATGTTGTGGCTGAGAACAATAATTGACAGAGGGGGGATTTGGGGTAGATATTAGAGTCAGATCTCCAGGAGCATTTGGACAAGGTGGGATTGTTGGGGTGGCTGTGCAGGGCCAGGAGTTGGACTGGATGACCCCGTGGGCCATTTCTAGCTGAGGCTTTTCTGTGGGAAATGTGGAAAATTGGAAAAGTGGAAATGTGGAAAAGGGGAAAAGGGGGAAAATGGAAAAGTGGGAAATGTGGAAAAGTAGAAAAGTGGAAGTACGGAAAAGTGGGAATGTGGAAGTGTGGGAATGTGGGAAAGTGGGAATGTGGAAAAGAGGGAAATGGAAATGTGGAAGTGTGGAAATGTGGAAAAGTGGAAGTATGGAAAAGTGGGAATGTGGTGGAAGTGTGGGAATGTGGAAAAGAGGGAAATGGAAATGTGGAAGTGTGGAAATGTGGAAATGTGAAAAAGTGGGAATGTGGAAAACTGGAAAAGTGGGAATGTAGAAATGTGGAAGTGTGGAAAAGTGAAAATGTGGAAAAGTGGAAATGTGGGAAAGTGGGAAAGTGGGATTGTGGAAATGTGGAAAAGTGGGAAAGTGGGAATGTGGAAATGTGGAAAAGGGGAAAAGTGGAAATGTGGAAGTGTGGAAAAGTGGAAAAGGGGGAAATGTCCCAGCCTGTGAGGGTCTTCTGTGGGAAATGTGGAAAAGTGGAAAAGTGGGAAATTGAAGTGTCCCGGCACGTGTCAGGGGCTGCAATGGGATGAGTCTCGACTTCTCCGCCTCTCTCTGTCCCCCTGCCCGGGGGTCTCGGGGGTCTCCGCACCCCAACCCCGCGGGCGGGCGCGGGCGGGTCTCGAACCCGCGGCCTCCGGCTCCTCATTCCCCGCTCCTCCATCGCCCCCTGGCGGCGGCGGCGCGGGGGAGGGTCGCGCGGTGATGACGTCAGTGGTGCGCCGCCGGTGCCGCCGCCGCCGGTGCCGGGCATGGCCCAGCTCGGCGCCATCGCCGCCCTCGCCCTCGGCGTGGCGGCCGCCGCGCTGCTCTCGGCCGTGCACAAGATCGACGAGGGGCACATCGGCGTCTACTACCGGTGAGGCAGCCCGGCGGTGCTCCCTGCGGGGAGAGAGCCGCGTACCGGCCAGCCGCCGCCGCCGCTCACGGTTCCTTCCCTCTCTCTCTGTCTCTCTCCCGTTCCCTCACAGCGGCGGAGCGTTGCTGACCTCCACCAGCGGGCCCGGCTTCCACCTCATGCTGCCCTTCATCACGTCCTACAAGTCAGTGCAGGTGCTGCTGGGCGCGGGCCCGGGCGGGGCGGGCACCGGGGGCACCGGGGCTGCTGTGGCCGTGCCCGGTACCGCGGATAGGCGGCTCTCGGTAAAAAATCCCGGGGAAATCCCTCTCCTAAGCCTCTTTCCTTCAATCCCTGCAGACCACGCTGCAGACGGACGAGGTGAAGAATGTCCCGTGCGGTACCAGGTGAGCTGGTCGGTGATTGCGAACCGGCTGGGAGCTGCTCGGAACCGAGCTTAAACCGGGGACACCGGCAAAACCGAGCTCCTGCCGAGCCCAAACTGGGGACAGTGACAAAACCGAGCTCCTGCCCAGCCCAAACTGGGGATAATGGCAAAATTGAGTTCTTTTCCATCTCCAAACTGGGAACACTGGCAAAACCAAGCTCCTCTCCAGCTCCAAACTGGGGATAATAGCAAAACTGAACTCCTGCCCAGCCCCAAACTGGGGACAGTGACAAAACCAAGCTGTCCCCAACCCCAAATTTGGGACATTGGCAGAACCGAGCTCCTCTCCAGCCCCAAACTGAGGAAAATGGCAAAACTGAGCTCTTTCCCATCTCCAAACAGGGGAAATTGGCAAAACCAAGCTCCTCTCCAGCCCCAAACTGGGGACACTGGTAAAACCGAGCTCCTCTCAAGCTCCAAACTGGGCTCGCTGGTAAAACCCAGCTCTTCCCAGCCCCAAACTGGGCTCACTGGGAGCCCCAGGCCCGTGTGCTGGGCTGGTGCCACTGGAGGGGACAGTCCCCCTTGGAGCCCCTCAGCCTCCTGCAAAGCTCATTTTGTGTTTTCTCCTTTTTTTTTTTTGCAGTGGGGGAGTGATGATTTACTTCGACAGGATCGAGGTGGTGAATTTCCTCATCCAGAGCGCAGGTGAGTCACAGCTCTGCCCTGGGGCTGGGCTGGGCTGGATTTGCATGCAGGGAGCCAGGAGGGGCTGGAATTGCCTGGAGGGAGCCAGGAGGGGCTGGAATTGCCTGGAGGGAGCCAGGCTGTCCCTCAGGAGGGGCTGGGACTGGATTTGGTGGGAGTCAGCCTGTCCTACAGGGAGTGATGAGTTTGGAATTGCTTGGAGGGAGCCAGGCTGTCCCACAGGAGGGGCTGGGACAGGGTTTGGAGGGAGCCAGGCTGTCCCACAGCAGGGGTTGGGTTTGTCTGGACAGAGCCAGGCTGTCCCACAGGTGTGCCCTGAGCTCTGCCTGTCACCTCTACCCCCTCCCCATGGAATTTTTGCTGTTGATTGTCTCTATCCAAGCCCCCCTGAGCTTTGTGCAGCAGGTTGGAGTCCCTGAGGGTTCAGGGACTGAGAGAAAAGGCTCCTGGAGATCCACCTGGGCAGCTTTTCCCAAATCCTTTGGGTTTGAGCATGGGAATGCAGCAGGGAGCTCTCTGTGTGTGTGTGTCTGAGGGTGCTTCAGACAGGGCAGGGGACAGATATTGGTGAGGAAAATACCAGATATTGATGCCACAAAACAGGAGCAGTGAATAAACCTGCCCTGAGCAGAGGGTTTGAGAGCAGGGGGTGCCTCATTTCATTCTGCACTGAGACTGAGCTGCAGGGTTTTCCCTGAGGGTGCTGAGCCTGCTCCCCCTGCTCCATCCCCCCTGATCCCTCAGGAGATGTCAGGGAAGGTATAGGGTGGATATTAGGAAAAAATAATAGAAAGGGAATGGGAATGGGAATGGAGTGGAGTGGAGTGGAGTGGAGTGGAGTGGAGTGGAGTGGAGTGGAATGGAATGGAATGGAATAGAATAGAATAGAATAGAATAGAATAGAATAGAATAGAATAGAATAGAATAGAATAGAATAATAAAGTACTGGAATGCTCTTCCCAGGGTAGAATCACCATCTCTGGATGGGTTTAAAAAAAGCCTGGACATGGCACTGGCTGCTATGGTCTGGGTGAGGTGTTAGGGCACAGGTTGGACTCAGAGGTCTCTTCCAACCTCATCATTCTGTGATTTTCTGATTCTGTGGTTCCTCTCCTCTCCCAGTGTACGACATTGTCAAGAACTACACGGCTGACTATGACAAGGCTCTCATCTTCAACAAGATCCACCACGAGCTGAACCAGTTCTGCAGCGTGCACACTCTGCAGGAGGTGTACATCGAGCTCTTTGGTGAGCTGCTGCTCCTGGGGGCTCCCTGTGGGCTGTCAGTGCAGAACCCCCAAGTGCTGGGGGGTTTTATCCATTAATCCCAAGTGCTGGGGGGTTTTATCCATGTTTTATCCATGTTCTATCCATGAATCCCAAGTGCTGGGGAGTTTTATCCATGTTTTATCCATGTTTTATCCATGTTTTATCCATGTTTTATCCATTAATCTCAAGTGTTGGGGAGTTTTGTCCATGTTTTGTCCATGTTTTATCCATGTTTTATCCATGTTTTATCCATGTTTTATCCATGTTTTATCCATGAATCCCAAGTGCTGGGGGGTTTTATCCATGTTTTGTCCATGGTTTATCTGTGTTTTATTCATGAATCCAAAGTGTTGGGGAGTTTTATCCATGAATCCCAAGTGTTGGGGGGTTTTATCCATGTTTTATCCATGTTTTATCCATGAATCCCAGTGTTGGGGGGTTTTATCCATGTTTTATCATGAATCCCAAGCTGGCTCTGCTTGCAGCAGGATTCCTAGCCAGCTGCCATGGTTTATCCCTGTTATCTTTTGGAGCTGAGTGCCTCAGTTCTGCTGTAACAACAAACTGCACAGCCAGCCCTGCCAGCAGCCTCCCTTTAGGGAAGGGAGCAGCAATTCTGTGCCATTCTCTGGGATGGATTGAATTGGTCACAGGATTGTCTGATCCACATGGAACAGCCTGGCTGTGCCTTTCTGCTCTCCCAGAAACTCAGCACACACCCCTGGCCAGAGCTTTGGGCTGTAGCTGTGCCCACAGGGCTGGCAGGAGCTGCCCTGCCCAGCAGAGAAGGAGGGAATGCTGTGGTTTCCTGCAGTGCTGAGTGTTTTGTTCCTGGCTCTGGGCTCACAGGAAATCCTCCCAGGCTTTGGGCTGTTGGGGGCCCAGCAGGACAGGTTTTGTGTCTGGGTGAGCTCAGGGTGTTTGCAGGGTCCTGTTCTCTCTTCAGCCTGGCTTTTCCATGGAGCCTTCCCACACTGGGGCTCAGATTCCCCCAGTTCCCAGCTCCTGCTGGTGGCTGGGTGGGTTCCTGGCCCATGGAGGCTCCAGATGTTGGCAGCTGCTGCTTGAAATGGGCTGAAAGCTCCTGAACTTGTGCAAACTCCCTGCAAGCCCTGGGGCTCTGCAGCCCCTCTGAGCAGCCTCACATCACCCTGTGCCCCCACATCTGCCAGCAGGTGCAGGGAACTGATAACAGCTGCTTCCCAAACTCCTGGCTGGCCTTCATCAGGAGGTCCAGAGAGGAAACTGGGACCAAAGCAAACAGTCCAGGAGTGTGATGTGATCCCTCTCAAGGCTGTTACTGTTTGATTTTCCCTCTGCACTTCCCAGCAGGCCCCAGCTGGAAGCTCTGCCCTCCTTGGAGCTTTCATCAGAGCAGGGTTTAGGTTATGTTTTCTTTTGAAATCCTCAGCTGTGCTGGAGTTCTGGGTCTCCTTGAGCCAAAGAGACATTGCTGATGATTTTTGCAGCCTGTTAAAGTAACTGATGCTGCCATTTCCCATTCCTGCCTTTCCATTTGCTGGCACAGGTCACAATCAGTCAGGATTTACCTCATCACTCCAGGATTTAGTGGGGAATTTCAGTGGGGAAGGGGTTAGAGCACAGATTGCTGGTTGTGAAGATGCTGGATGTGGCTCAGGAAGATTCCAGGCTGCAGGTTAAGGGAAGCTGCAGGGTTTCCTTTCATGGCTGCCACATTCCTGTGGTGTGTCCCATAGCTGGGAGCCTGCCTGGGGTCAGCCCAGCGCTTCTTCATCCAACTCCCATTTGTGCTTTCCAGGAATAAAAAATGTGAACCATCCCAGCTCACTCTGGGTGCTGACAGCAAACTGCCTTGGGGGATCTTTCATTCCCTTCTCTTTTCTCTCCAATCAGATCAAATTGATGAAAACCTCAAACTGGCTTTGCAGCAAGACCTAACCACGATGGCCCCTGGATTGATTATACAGGTAATCAGGATTTGATTGAGATGTTGAAGGGGCAGATTGTTGTGGCACTAGAGGCTCTTCAGAAGTTGGGGAGTCAGCAATAACATTGTGAAGAAAGGGAAAGGGCTAAAAGGAAGCAAGGAACTGAGATTTCTTTAGGAAATTGCTTTACAACACAGATTTCATTTAACCTGGGGAGTAGGAGCAGTGCCCTTCCTGTCCCCTCCCAGTTTTGGTGTGTTGAGTTTCTCCTGGGTGCTCTTTGCCCAGGTTACACTCTCCTGTCATGTCAGGAGACCTTTCAGTGCTGTTCCTCTGTGGGTTTTGGGCCACACAATCTCTGGCCCAGGTTCTCCTGTGTATCTCTCTGTGCAGGCAGTTCGAGTGACAAAGCCAAACATCCCTGAAACCATCCGGAGGAACTACGAGCTCATGTAAGTGCCCAAAAAGACCCAGAAGGGCACAAGAACTCAGGGTTGGGGCATTGTGGTGCCCTCAGCCTTCTGCCCCTCAGGATGGGGATGGGGAGGAGCAGCTCTGAGCACTTCAGCCCTTGAGCACAGGCAGGGTTTGCCCTGGGGCTCCTTCCCCTGCTGAGCCTGAGTGGCAGAGGGATGGATTTCACCACTAATCCTCTTGTTTGACCGGGATGGAGAAACTGTTGATTCAACAAGCTGAAGACTTGCAAAGCTTTGAAATAACTCTCTTTGACAGCACTTGACAGTGCTGATCCCTCTGCAGTGCCCTGAGCCAGCTGCCAGGATTGGATCCCTCTCATCCACTCTGCTTCCCCAGCACTGCCTGTCACATTTTGGGCTTGCTTGTGGTAAATCCTGTGTAATAAATACAGCAGGATGTGTTGAGCGACTCAGTTCCAGGGTCTCTTCCCTCACTGGGAGCAGGAGCAGAGTTTTTATTTATGTTCACTTTAAAAACTCATCAATGTGAGTAAAAACCAAAAAGATAGAAAAGGCAGCAGGGCAGCCTGCAGGGATTGTCACAGGGAAATCTTCCTGCTGTGGAGAGGAGGAAAGAATTTGATTCAGGCAAAAAGCTCTGGGCAGACATTGCTGATCCCACGTGCTGGAAGGAGGGGAGAGCCAGCAGCTCGTTCTGGGGCTGTGCTGGGAGTCCCACAGCAGTGAGCTCCTGGATTTAACTGGTTTTTCTGCTCTCCAGGGAGAGTGAGAAGACAAAGCTGCTGATAGCAGCCCAGAAGCAGAAGGTGGTGGAGAAGGAGGCAGAGACAGAGAGGAAGAAAGCTCTGATAGGTCTGTGGGGCTGGGCTGGGAGAGGGAATGGGGGGATTGAGAGGAGGGAGACCCCAAGGAGGGAGGGAGGGATGCACCTGGTTCACTGAGACCTTCCCTGATCTGAAACATCCCCAAAGAAACTCTGAAGTTTTTCAAGTGGGTTCCAGCTTTGTTCTCTGCAGGCTGGAAATTGTTCCCACCGTTTATTTGCACCTGAAGTGGGTGATGAGTGAGGATTTTCCAGGGTGAGGCTGCTCCTGGTGTTAGGAAAACGTGTGATGACAGCGTGGGCGTGTTCTTGTTTGCGTTGCAGAGGCAGAAAAGATTGCACAAGTCGCTGAAATAACTTATGGGCAGAAAGTGATGGAAAAGGAGACAGAGAAGAGGATTTCAGAGATTGAAGGTGAGTGAAGGCTGAGCTTTCCTGTAAGTAAATCCTGAAGGAGTTCTTGAAGTGTGTGCTGACTGTTCTTCAGTCCAGGCTGACGTTCTCAGGGGTAAAGTTCCTGACCACAGGCAGGAGTAGGAATTTCTTTGCAGCCTGTGCTTCTTGAAACTCCCTTTCTCAAGGTGATCTTTGCAGGAGTTTGAATGTAAGGAGTTCTGATAAAGTGCTCTCAGGGCGTGGAGAGGGCTCTGCAATTCCAGCTCGGGAGTGGCAAGGCCTTTTTACCCCTTACATTCATTAGAGGCCCTGACAAGCTTTGCAGAAGCCATTGAGGAGCCAATTAAGAGTTTTACAGGTCAGCAGCTTCTCATTAAGAAGCTCTTTGCAGAAATACAATGGGATTTATTTCTTATAACTGTGTCAGCAGGTGTCAGCCCTCAGTCTGGCAGAGGATTCCTGCCTCCTCCTTTTTCCCCTGGTGTCTCTGACTGGGACCAAGCTCTGCTTTTAGCCAGGAGAGGAAGCTGTGGGCCAGACCATCCAGCTGTTTACAGGATCTTGAAGTGCAGCAGCTCCCAGGCCTCCCTGCTAGGGGAAGTAAACAAATGGTTTATCCAGCTGTGCAGCTCTCAGATGTTGCAATTGCAAAAAAAATTGTGTGGCTCCATGCCTCAGGAGGAGTGGCAGGACATGGGCAGGATTCTACTCATTTTATCTTTTTCCTGCTGGCCTGATAGCCATCATTATTTATCACTGGATGGATGCAGAGGCAGAGGGGGAAAGGAGTGCAGAAAAGGGGGAATGTTCCTTAAGTGTCTGTGCCAGGAGTCAGGAATTTCAGTATCCACAGTCAGAGCCTTGGAGCAATTGTTGATAGAGCAGAGAAAAGGATTCAGAGATCCTGGCCAGGATCTCTGCAAGGGGCAGAGCCTGTAGAGGTTAAAATCCCCTTCTCTGCCTGCCAGAACTTCATCTGCACATCCCAAATCCCATCTGGGAATCCCATCCACAGCCCAGAGATCTGCTGGGCTGCCCAGGCTGCTGCTGGCCCCTGGGCAGGGGCTGTGGGTAAATCCCACGTCTGCAGTTCTGCATTTCAGCACCAGAGTCAGCCCTGGCTCGAGAAGAAAGGCTGGGCTCTGCCCACGTGATGGGGATAATCAAACCCTGATGTTTGTCAAGTTCTTGGAGCTCTGCAGTTGCAGATGCAATTTGCTTCTTGGTGCTCTCATCCTGCAGCCATTTAACTGTAAATTGAGCTCCCATTTCTGGGTTTCCCATTTTGCTCCCTCTTCCCTGTGTAGTTCAGAGGTGGCTCTGGCCACCTTCTGAAGAGTTACCAGCTGCAAACAGTGCAAAGGGAAATAAAAATGTGATTGAGAGCATGTGTTTGCTTCCAGATGCTGCTTTTCTTGCACGAGAGAAGGCAAGGGCTGATGCTGAGTGTTACACTGCAATGAAGGTGGCTGAGGCCAACAAGGTACTGTGCTCTCCTTTGTGGTGCCTCAGGCTGTAGGGAAATACCAGCACCAGGGCAGGCAGTGATCCTTGTTTAAGTCAAAAAGCAAAACAAGGCCGTGTCCTCTCAGCAAAGCTTTCATCTGAAACAGTTAGTCAACAGTTAGATCCTTATTTGCAAGTTCATTTTGTTCTCTGATCAGTGTCAGGGTGTGTGAAATCTCTGTTTTGCCAGGGGCTCACGGGGCTCTCTGTGGAATATCACTTTCAGTGCTGCCCTTTCACACTGTTGTGATGAGAAATGTGCTTTCATTCCAGTCTCAAGTTGGCAGGGAGATCTCCAGGGTGACAGGCAGGGGCAGAATAAGGGAAAGAACTGATCTCAGACACCCTGGGAGAGCCTCAGTACTGCAGAAGTAAAAACAACAAAAAATCCAATGTGCAAACAGAAAAATGACATGGACAGAATGGCCAGGGGGAAGGAGCAGAGAACTGGGGTGTTTGTGCCCAAGTTTTGTCCTCTCTTAAAATGTCATTATCCTGAAGGAATGAGTTCTTCTCATCCAGACTCACTGGTGGATCTGCTCCCTGGAGAGAGCCAGGGATGTTTCCCCCCTCAGAACCTGGGATATTTCCCTCAGAGCCAGGGATGTTTCCCCTTCAGAGCCAGGGATGTTTCCCCCTCAGAGCCAGGGATGTTTCCCCCTCACAGCCAGGGATGTTTCCCTCAGATCCAGAGATTCCAGAGATATTTCCCTGCTCTTAACCGGGGATGTTTCCCCCCTCACATCCAGGGATATTTCGCTCACATCCAGGGATGTTTCCCTCCTCAGAACCAGGGATATTTCCCTCACATCCAGGGATATTTCCCTCAGATCCAGGGATGTTTCCCTCCTCAGAACCAGGGATATTTTCCTCACATCCAGGGATGTTTCCCTCAGAGCCAGGGATGTTTTTGCCCTCAGAAGCAGGGATACTTCCCTCAGAGTCAGGGATGTTTCCCTTCTCAGTGCCAGGGATATTTCCCTCACAGCCAGGGATGTTTCTCTTCTCAGATCCAGGGATGTTTCCCCCTCAGAACCAGGGATGTTTCTGCCCTCACATCCAGGGATATTTCCGTCAGATCCAGGGATGTTTCCCCCCTCAGATCCAGGGATGTTTTCGCACTCACATCCAGGGATATTTCCCTCAGAGCCAGGGATGTTTCCCTCCTCAGAACCAGGGATATTTCCCTCAGATCCAGGGATTTTTTTCCCCCTCAGATCCAGGAATGTTTCCCCCTCAGAACCAGAGATGTTTCCCCCTCAGAGCCAGGGCAGAGACAAGTAGCTCTTCCTGAACTACCCAAAGATGGAATCCCCTTCTTGTCTCAGAACAATGTTCCAGAGACATTGATCTTTCCCTCCAGAGAGCTGATCAGGTCCTCACATCCCAGATGCAAGAAGGGAACAGAGATTTCTTTTCCAGGGATGTTTCCCCCTCAGAACTCTCCTTGCAGGGGCTGCAGTGAGGGATGAGCTCTCCAGCCTCTCCATCACGCTTGGACTGAGCCTTTCCCCAGCTGCTCCCTTCCCTTTCCATTCTGCCATTTATTCCCTGGCATCTGGAGCTGCCCTCAGCCCTGCTGGAGGAAATCCTGGCTCTGGGCACTCTGTTTTCCCTGGGGAGGGCTGGCCATGCCTGCTGGGCTTGTGTGCTCAGGTAGGAATTCCCTTTTCCCAAAGCCGAGCTGTTGTGACTGATTTTCTCTCTGTGCAGCTCAAGTTAACTCCTGAGTACTTGCAGCTGATGAAGTACAAGGCAATTGCAGCCAACAGCAAGATCTACTTTGGCAAAGATATTCCCAACATGTTCATGGACTCTGCAGGGAGCCAGAGCAAATCTGCAGAGGGACTGGCAGAAGGAATCCCAGAGGAGGATGGAGCAGGAACCAGTGAGGACACAAAACTACTTCATAACATCAACTGAAAAGAAAGATTTCTATTCATTTTCTATCAAAAAATCACGAACTGGGAAATTCCTTTTAGTTTTCTCCCTTTTCCTGTGCTGAAAGAGATGAATCAGATTTAATCCTTTCAATCTTTTATATGACAATTAGACCACAAGGACTTTGGTATTTATGGGGTGGGCTTTCTGGTAATTTCTAAGCTCCGGGTATGTTCTGTAGCTGCACCTCCCCATCTCTTGGGTCAGCCAGACCAAGGATTTGGGAGATGCTGTCAGGGCTATCAGCTGGGTGGGAACCTCATTTGGGATTGAGGTGGTTCAGAGCAGTTGCAGCTAAAGAAATGTTGAGGTTTTGGAAGGAGGGGAATTGCTGCTACAACTTGTTTTGGGGTTTTTTTCTTACTAAAAATTCCAAGTACTTTATTTCAATCCCCTCTGAAAATAAGGTGCTAGATTTTGTACTTTACATACAAGTGGCTGCTCCAGGCTGGGGCTGCTGAGCCCACATGAGGTGACCCCATGAGGGACAGAGGAGCCCTGCAGGTCCCACCCATGGGGGGAATCAAAGCCTTAGACCACATCACACTGAGAGTGACCCAAAAATCTTCATTTTCTGTGTCCTGACTGCTTTGTTTTCCATTTGTCATGTTGTTGTGGGGCACAGGAGAGTTGTCCCAGCAGTTCAGCTGTTGAGGGAGTGCAGAGCTGGGTGAGATTTTCAGTGAAACGATGAAAATTGTCACCGAAAACCAGAGAGAAAAGAATTTTTGTCTCAGGGACCCTGACTTTACAAAAGGCCTTGCTGGGGAGGAGCTGCAGGAGAGTTTTTCAGTTTGTTATCTGCTCTGTGGGAGCAGCTGGATCTCAGTGTTTACAGTGTCTGACTAGAAAAAGGACATTCAGGTGGAGCTGAAGTGATCTCCTGTGGGATTGGGGCTGACTGGACCTTGTGGAAGGAAGATTTCAGGACAAACCATGATCCTGAACCACCCAAAGATGGATTCCCCTTCTTGTCTCAGAACACTTTTCCAGAATGTACCTTCCCCTCCAGAGAGCTGATCAGCTCCTCACATCCCAGGTGCAAGGAGGGAACAGAGATTTCTTTTCCACACGTGCAAAATTGGAGGATAAAAGTCCAGGCCTAGAGAGAACATTTTTTTTTCCCTACCCAATCCAGCAGCAGAGCCTGGTGATTAATTACTGATGTAATTAGAGGCCAGGATGCTCTTCTGAGATGATGCCAGTGCTCCTGCCCCAGATTTTTGCTGCCTGGTCTCACCTTTCAGTGTTCAAACCTTCATCTCTCTGTGTTGCTCTGAGAGAGAGCTCAGGTGAATCTCAGCTGCTGCCTCCAGGGTTTTTACAGCAGTTTTCTCTTCCCTGTTGATGCTTGAAAATGCAAAATAGAAATGAAGCATTAGAGTCCCATCCTCTTTGTATTTCTTAGAAAATAGGAACCTACATCAGACTCAATTCCCTCCCCAGGGAGGCTGTGATATTCCTGACTCATAATTAGGTCTGTGCAGCCAGATCCTAACAGGGAATAGCAGAAATTTCACCATGAGATTGTTCTGTGTTCATGCTTGAGGTTTCCATCAGCAACTAACGCCTCCTTTTACACAAGTATTTTTCACTAATGAAAGGACCCTACTAAGCCAAAGTGGTATTATAAAGGCTTTTTTTTAATGTGTGATTTCACAGCAAGATAATAGCTTGGGATGAAGAGCTCTTAATGATTTTTTTTAATTAAAACCCTGACTGCTGAAGTATTAGTGTAATTTAGTTAAGTTGTTCTAAGAGTAAAAAAAGAAAAGCAAAGTTGAGAGTGTGTCAGTTTTCATAAGCCAAAATCCTTTGTTGTGTCTTCATTCAGGTTTTCTTCACTCTAAAATGTTCTGAATGTTCCAGAGTGGATCAGTCTCCATGTAAACCTTTATTCCTCTGTTTTTAACAGGCAAGTTGTCCTGTTTGTGTAATCCTGAGATGAAGATCTGAACTTTAAACCCACTCTATAGCAAAGGGAACAGAGGTTTGTGGCACTGCTGATAGCTGGGAGCACGGAAATGCTCTGCCAGAGCAGTCCTTGATCTTCTTATGTACTGAATTCAAAGCCTTTTTATTTTGGTATTTGCTATGACAATAAAATGGCCTTCGATTTTAGAATCTTCCAATGTTACCATCAGGGTTTGTGGATGGAATTTAGTAGGAGATGTTTGCAGGGGAGGATTTTGCAGAGGGAAGGTCAAGGGGACTGGGGGGCTCTGGGGTGCTGGGGGTAGGGCTGGTTCTCCTTTTCCAGTGAGGAGGAGGAAGGTGGAAGAAGGAATCCCAATTCTGTCAGCGCCTGCTTTGCTGTGGAATGAGCAAAACCACCAGACTGAAGCAGCAAACACCTCGGATTTGGTGAAGTTCACAGAAAATCCTTGTCGTGCTTTACCAGACAAAGGGCAGGAACCTTCTGGGTGTTTTTTAGCCAGCTGTGTCAACACTGGATCTGCAGAGGGCCGGTGAAGTTCTGCACATTAAGGCAAATATTTGAGTTAATGTGTTCCAGCCGGCGCTTCCCACTCTGCCCCGGGAGCTCCTCCATAAAGCCGGGCCTTGTCCCGGCCCCTCCGGCTGCTGTGGGGCTCTGGCCGCGCTCCAGGCGCTGCCCACACCTCAGGCAGGGCCTGCGGGACAATTCCCGTTCCCTGCTGCGCTTCCGTGACGCCTTTTCCCCTCAGAAATTGAAATTGAGCCCCTTGGAGGCGGCTCCTCATGCCGCGATAACAACATCTTTGGGGGTGGGACCGTGGCAGCGCTCGCTGCTGTTCCTGCGGGCACGGAATGATTTGGATTTGTCACCAGAACCCAGGGAAGGGAAGGGAAGGGAACAAGCGAGAGCCGCCGTCCCTTTGAGCCGCCATGGCGGCCGCGACCTTCCCAACATGGCGGCTTGGCCCCGCCCCGCCGCTCCCATTGGCTGGCGGCGCTGTCGAAGCGATCCGATTGGTGGAGAGCGGGGGCGGGGCAGGTGTGTGGCGGAAGTGGCGGCGGGGGGGATGTGGAGAGCGGGCATGGCCGCCGGGGACGGGTTGGGTCCGGCGCTCCGCGCCGTCACCGAGCAGGTGCAGCAAGCGGCGGCGCGGCGGCCGCAGGTGAGCCCCGGGGACACGGGGGACAACCCGGCGGGACACGCGGGGCGGGGCCGCTGCGGCTGCGACAGACCTCAATCACCATAGGGACGGGCCCGCGCTGTGGGCACAGGTCAGCGGTGACCGTGGGGACAGGCCTGTAGTGCCACCGGGACGGGTCCTACCGTGGGGACAGGCCTGTAATGCCACCGGGACGGGTCCTACCGTGGGGACAGGCCTGTGGTGCCACTGGGACTGGTGCCACCATGGGCACAGATCACTGGTGACCGTGGGGACAGGCCTGTAGTGCCACCAGGATGGGTCCCAGCATGGGGACAGGCCCACAGTGCCACCGGGACGGGTCCTACCGTGGGGACAGGCCTGTAGTGCCACCGGGACAGGTCACTGGTGACCATGGGGACAGGCCCGCAGTGCCACCGGGACTGGTGCCACCGTGGGCACAGACCCACAGTGTCACTGGTATGGGTTCCAGCGTGGGGACAGGCCCACAGTGCCACCGGGATGGGTCCCACCATGGGTACAGGCGCTGGTCACCATGGGCACAGACCTGCAGTGCCACCAGGATGGGTCTCACCATGGGGACAGGTTACTGGTGACCATGGGGACAGACCCACAGTGCCAGTGGGACTGGTGCCACCATGGGCACAGACCCGCAGTGCCACCAGGATGAGTCCCACCATGGGGACAGGTCACCTGTGACTGTGGACACAGATCCGCAGTGGCACCGGGACTGGTCCCACCATGGGTACAGGCTGCTGGTCACCATGGGCACAGACCCGTAGTGCCACCGGGATGGGTCTTACCATGGGGACAGGTCACTGGTGACCATGGGCACAGACCCACAGTGCCACTGGGATGGGCCTTACCATGGGGACAGGTCACTGGTGACCATGGGGACAGACCCGCAGTGCCACCAGAACGGGTCCCACCGTGGGCACAGCTGTTCACCGTGGGCACAGACCCGCAGTGCCCAGGGCCAGCACACCGGGTTGTGGCCGTGCCCACCCCCAGCAGCGGAGCCAGCCCCGCTATCGCGACAGCGCTCCCTCCTGTCGCGCCGGCACTCCCCGCCAGGGCCGGGCTCCCCTCGCTTCCCCCCGGGGCTGGGCTGGGCTGGGCTCCCCGTGCTCACTGTCCGTGCTCCCGCAGGGGCTCCCGGCCGTGCAGCCGCGGCTCGTGGCCGTCAGCAAAACCAAACCAGCAGAGATGGTGATGGAGGCTTACAGCCATGGGCAGCGCAGCTTCGGGGAGAACTACGTGAGTGGGGGGGCTGGGGAGGGTTTGGGGGGCTGGGAAGGGTCAGGGCTGGGAAAGGGTTGTGGGGCTGGAAAGAGTCAGCAGGGCTGGGGAGGGTCAGCAGGGCTGGGAAGGGTTGGGGGGGCTGGAAGGGGTCAGCAGGGCTGGAAAAGGTTGGGAGGCTGGAAGGGGTTTGGGGAGCTGGGAAGGGTCAGGGCTGGGAAGGGTCAGGGCTGAAAGGACTGAGAAGCTGGGACAGGGTCAGCAGGGCTGGGAAGGGTTGGGGGGCTGGGAAGGGTTGGGGGGACAGGGTCAGCAGAGCTGGAAAAGGTTGGGAGGCTGGAAGGGTTTGGGGGGCTGGGAAGGGTTGGGGAGCTGGAAAGGGTCAGCAGGGCTGGGACAGGGCCCCTGCAGAGGGCACAGAATCCCAAAATCATTCCAAGCCCTCCAAGGGCATCAAATCCAAGCTGTGCCCCATCCCCACCTTGTCACCCAACCACCTCCTGAGTCCTTCCTTGGACACCTCCAGGGATGGGGACTCCAGCACCTCCCTGGACAGCCCTTTCCAGTGTTCAACAACCATTTCTGTGAAGAAATTCTTCCTGAAGGCCTGGGCCAGCTCAGTTTGGGTGGCTCTGTGGGTGACACATCATTCCCTGGCCTCGTGTTTGTGAGGCTCAGCTTGGCCCCAAGATCACACAACCCAAAGACACCAATTCTCTGCCTGCTGTGGGTTTCACAGAATTTAATTCTCCTTCACTCTCCCAGGTTCAGGAGCTGCTGGAAAAGGCATCAGACTCCAGGGTAAGCACACAGTTCCCTTCATGCTTTTTTACCATGTATAGCTGTGTCCTGGGAGCTGCTCAAAGTCCTGGGCTTTGTTAGGGATTTGGTTGGATCCTTATCTGTGCAGATAAATGCTGGGGTGGGTTATTCTTGGCTCAGTGCCTCTGCCCTGCTCCCCCTCCTGCCTTGCTGGCTCCATCTGCCTCAGTCACGATTTGTCTGCACAGAGCTCTGCCTTTTGTGCTCTCTTTAGGAGAAGCACAATCCTTGCAGAAAAAAAAAAAAAAAAAAAAACATGTAGCACTCAGTTTGGGGAAAATATCATTTTATGAGTGTTGCACAATGTTCCCATGGACAGCAATCCCTGCAGCCACAAACCCATCCCTGTCCAGGCTCAACCTCAGCACAACCACAGGCTGAGTCTTCAGGATCAGAAATTGGGTGTCTGGTATTTGGTTGTGGGCAAACTAAGACTGAAGTGCTGAGTGGGGGGAAGAGGGAATTGTTGTTCCAACCTGAGCATTCCCTCTGCTTTCAGATTCTCTCATCCTGCCCAGACATCAAGTGGCATTTCATTGGCCACCTGCAGAAGGGCAATGTCAACAAGCTGATCGGTGAGTGCTGCTTGGTTTGGTGTGGGCAGTGATCCTCCAGTGCTCAGGCGTGTCAGGGAGGGTCAGGATTTCACAGAAAGGCTCTTCCCCCAGAGGGTGCTGAAATGGGCACAGCCCTGAGGCTGCCAGAGCTCCAGGAGGGTTTGGATAATTCCCCAGGATGGGATTTTGGGGTGTTTGGGCAGGAACAGTTGGACTCAGCCATC